ATAACTGTATTATTCTACCGCAATTTGAAAAGAAAATACTGCAGTAAATTCTGTTCATCACTAAACATACATGGCTGTTTGGGATAGATGTTCAAATATTTTTGGGTTTATATGCTGAGAACTTTTATTGGTGTTTTTTTTGACTTCCAGGTTTTGGCAGCTGTCATAAAGGCTGGTGCTTCCAGAGAGCATGAAATCCTTGCGGAGATCAGAGATGCTGTCTTTTCATTTATCCGGAAAATGGAGCCAAGAAGAGTAATGGATACAATGCTTGTTTCTCGAGTCAGGATATTGTACATAAGGTCCTTACTTGCACGATCACCTGAGCTTCAGTCGATCAAGGTGAGCATAACCAAATGGTATGAGCTAATTTTGTTTTTCTTAGCTTTTGTCTCTCAGATTAATCTCACGTCATCCACTTCTTTTAGGTTCCTCCTGTTGAACGCTTTTTGGAGAAGCCTTACACTGGCCGAACTAGAAGCTCAAGCGGGAGTAGCAGCCCGGGTAGATCGCCAGTTCGATATTATGAGGAGCAGATTCATGGCTTTAAAGTAAATTTAAAACCAGAAAAGAAAAATAAGTTGGTATCCGTTGTTTCCAGAATCCGTGGACATGAACAGGTAAGAAGATATCTATGATTCCCAGAGATGCTTGATTTTAACCGAATAACTGAGAATCCTAGATACAAACGTACACGCCTCTCTTGTCTTAGGATACCGGGAGGCAGCAAGTGACTGGAGGAAAGCTGAGAGAGATACAAGATGAAGCCAAAAGTTTTGCCATTGGAAACAAACCTTTAGCTGCTTTATTTGTTCACACTCCGGCTGGTGAACTGCAAAGACAGATTAGGTCATGGCTTGCAGAAAGTTTTGAGTTTCTTTCTGTTACAGCAGATGATGTTTCAGGAGGAACCACTGGCCAATTAGAGCTTCTTTCCACAGCAATTATGGATGGCTGGATGGCTGGAGTAGGAGCTGCGGTGCCACCTCATACAGACGCTTTGGGACAGCTTTTATCTGAGTATGCGAAACGAGTCTACACATCTCAGATGCAGCACCTAAAGGTATATGCCATGTCATTGGTGAAAATGATAATTTTTTTTGCCAGAATGATTTCAGCAGTAACTGATATTTAAAAATAAGAAATCTGTTAAAGTAGAAGCTTTTGTTGAAATCTTGGTCTTACTCGCTGAAGAACTTGTTTGCCATGTGAGGTCTAATATGGGATGTTGTATTAGGATATTGCTGGTACTCTGGCTTCGGAAGAGGCAGAAGATGCAGGTCAAGTAGCGAAGCTTCGATCAGCTCTTGAGTCTGTTGACCACAAACGAAGAAAGGTAACACTGAAAATAGAAAGTAATGCTGTCATACTGTTGTACTCATTCTCATTGTCTCTTGAGCGTTTTTCTCGTACATGAGTTTCCATGTTCTTTCTATATCAGATTTTGCAACAAATGAGAAATGACGCAGCTTTGTTTACCTTGGAAGAAGGCACTTCTTCTATTCAAAATCCTTCTACAGCAGCCGAAGACTCAAGATTAGCTTCTCTTATTTCTCTAGATGCCATACTGAAGCAAGTCAAGGTATCATAACTCTTGTCATACGAAACCATCACGTGTCTTCCTTGATCTCGGTCATGATTTAACTACGAGAAGAAAAGCGGTTAGTAAAAACTGTTTGCGTCTTGTAGGAAATAACAAGACAAGCCTCTGTCCACGTTTTGAGTAAAAGCAAGAAGAAAGCATTGCTTGAGTCTCTTGAAGAACTTAATGAACGAATGCCTTCTCTTCTTGATGTTGATCATCCGTGCGCACAGAGAGAAATTGCTACGGCTCACCAGTTGGTCGATGTAAGTGATGAAGAAAAACTGAGGATCCAAAAATCTTGAGAGATTCGATATTTATAACTTGTTAATTGCCGGTTTTATCTATTGGAGTGCAGACAATCCCAGAACAAGAGGACAATCTTCAAGACGAAATGAGACCTTCATTAGATTCAATATCCTCAACCGAAACCGATGTGTCTCAATGGAACGTTTTGCAATTCAACACAGGAGGCTCTTCAGCTCCATTCATCATAAAATGCGGAGCTAACTCCAACTCGGAGCTCGTGATCAAAGCAGATGCCCGAGTTCAAGAACCTAAAGGAGGCGAAATCGTGAGAGTTGTGCCAAGACCTTCGGTTCTAGAAAACATGAGCCTAGAGGAAATGAAACAAGTGTTTGGTCAGTTGCCTGAGGCTCTAAGTTCACTGGCCCTAGCAAGAACAGCTGACGGCACACGGGCTCGATACTCAAGACTCTACAGAACTCTGGCCATGAAGGTTCCCTCTCTCAGGGACCTCGTTGGAGAGCTTGAGAAAGGAGGTGTCTTAAAAGATACCAAGTCGACATGAAACAAAAAAATAAGGTTTCATTTGTGTAAGTATTATCTTTTATTGTGAGGCTTTATACGTTGGATTTCGCTGTATTTGTGTGTACTCTATATTTTGCGGCCACTAATGGTTGTATCGTGTGTAAGAACAGTTCAGCTAAGAGAATCTTCCATGGAGCTATCTTCGATTCCAATTGACATAAGTTTATTGACTTTTCAAATTATAAAGCTATATAAATCAAAAGAAGGAAACCTGTAAGCAAAAAAAAAATGATGATCTTATTCAAGAACTATCATATGATAGGTTTAATTCAGTCCCTTTGCTTATTTTTTTCCCTCTCTTTACATTTGGGGATAAGTAAATGGGATTCTTGTTTCATTGGACTCTAGAAAGAAAAATAAGCCCAATAATATTGCGTGCGTATAAAGCAGAAAACACATAGTTGTCTAACTATAAATATAAACACCTAATTATAGAATCAGGAAAAGCATGAGACTCGTTTTGGCCAATTCCATCATGCGAAAAATCAAGGGATATATGCCTTAACATATTTATTTATTTCTTATCGCATTCCATTAAAGAAATACACATGATCCATGGATACTTGGTCTATTAACTTTAGAATGATCATACCATGCAAATAAAAATCCTCACAATTGTAACTTTTTCATGAAAATTGCGATGGTCGATGTGGTGGTCTCGATTTCGGTAGACAATTGCATGAGGCTTCCTTGTGGATTTGACAATATGGTATTTTCATTTGGGATATATTGGAGATGTAGTTGAGAAAAATATCATGTGCATCAATAGTGCGAATGTCATTTATCATTTATCATTTATCATTTGATTGGATTGACACAATGATTATTTTTTTGTCATATGTTAGAAGAGATGGTGAGTGATCGTTTATTGATCGTTTATTGATCGTCTATTGTCTTTATTTGTTTCCCCAAACTCGAACCAAGTCACAAGTCCTTGTTCTTCTTTTGTTTTTTGTTTTGGGTTATTAGACACAGTGAATCAATGGGTGGCAAAGATGGTCTCCGACCTTCGTATCCTCATCTCTCCAACCATTGGAGACGGGTGTACTCCATATGATATGAGTAATGTCAAAGTTATTCTATCTGAAGGAGATAATTTGAGAGAGGTTGTTTTACAGATGAAGACTCGAGAAAAAGTGGCTGCGATGGTTGGTGGGAGCTTCATCAAGAAGGACTCGAAGCAACTGTTTGAGTCCTTCAAGGATCCAGCTCGGAGGCATGTTTGGGATCATGAGCCTCTCCAACTCCAGCTTGTGAAGGACTACGGAGACGGAACAAACCTCCTCGAACAAAGCTACAGACTATTTGGAGCTGTATCGAGCATTCATGTTATCTTGACAGAGACTCCTTTCTCGAGGGTTAATGTACTTGACCCGAACGACCTTCTCACCGAAGGATACACCATCTCTGAAACGGCAGATGGAGACTTCTCATTCATCACCACCGTTCTGGTCCACTCCCGCCTAACTTCTAGGGCTGCCGATGCTAAAGTAGCCTATGTGCTGAAGGCTAAATGGCTTTGAACTTTCTTCAACATTCCTAAATCGGTGGGGGAGTCCGCTTTTCGATTCCAGTAATTCAGACATTAGTGTCCGCTCTATCTCTTGGTTTTAAGTGTTTTATGCAAAACTATGATATCTTTTGGTTTTTATGTTTTATGCTGTGTAAGGAATTGGATTCCACTCTCTTTTAAACTTATGTTTCTTCTACTATTATCCTCTATTCTTCTTTATTCTCTTGACATTGATACATGTAGCAGATGAAATTGGTCAAATGAATGTACAAAAGTTATAACACATACTCTGGAACTTACAGTAATACCATATCGATGATGAACAAAAATTAAATTTCTATAGCTCCAAGTAAAGCAGAGCGTTAAAGGTTTGGCTTGACAGACATTTAGCACTTCAGTTCAGGATATGCTAAAGCTAGCTTAATTAGTCTGTTGGTGTGATCCTCTTTCTCTTTTGGAGTTTAGTCTCTATCTCTCTAGAGAACCGTTTTCGGAAATGCACCCTGTAACTTGTTAGTTTAACTTGCTCTTAAATGACCAAAATATGTGTCCTGCTCTTGCTCTACAATCAAGTACAGAGAGCGCAGAGAGAGAGAGTTTCATTCAGATTGCATTCATATTCATAGGTTGCTTCACTGGGATAGTGTCTGGTTAATTTAGTCATTCCTTATAACATTGCGATGCAAGTTTACATGTGTTTAGGTATACATGTGTTCCCTCTCTCAGGGACCTCGTTGGAGAGCTTGAGAAAGGAGGTGTCTTAAAAGATACCAAGTCAACATGAATATGACACCAAAAAAAAAAAAAAAAAAAATTTGTGCCAAGTATAATTTATTACTGGTGAGGCCTTATACTTTGGATTTCGCTGTATTTGTGTGTACTCTGTATTTTGTGGCCGCTAAAGGTCGTATTGTGTCTAAAAAGAATAAGTCAGCACCTTCCGTGGAGTTCAGTACTTGATATACATTATTTTCTTTCCAAACTGTAAAGCTTTAAATCAACAGAAGGAAACCTGTAAGTTGAATATGAGAAAAAAAAAATACATTATTTTCTTTCCAAACTGTAAAGCTTTAAATCAACAGAAGGAAACCTGTAAGTTGAATATGAGAAAAAAAAAACACCTAATAATATCGATAGATAGATAAATAAAAGTAGCTAGGAGAAGGCAGAAAAAAAAAAAAAAAATTAAAGGTTGGTCTGGTGTAGCCTAGGCTCCGGCAAGAAGATTGTTTAAAGACAAGAGACTCTCAATGTGATTGGGAAAACACTGATATCTGAACTTGAAGAACTTGTCTTGGCTGATTCCATCGTACACAACTTTTCTTGCACTTTGGCTGGTTCAAATGGCAGAGTGGATTCTTCTAGCGACCATTCATGAATCAGGACGATCCCGGTTCCAAACCTGTTCAACTCCACCAAACAGGTAATCTGATAAATTCTCGATACCTGACGAGTCTTTTGTGCTGCATGAGCTCGTTGTCTCCGATGAGCTAAACAGTGATGATAAACTTCCACTCGACGAATCCACTCGCGGCAACAAACTGCTACTACTGTCTCTCTGTTTCTTGTTGGTGGTGTGGTCGTGTCTTGACGGAATTGCAGCCAAATTTCTTCTTTCCTTTGATTTCCGCACCGCTGCTCTCGGAGAATCTCTGTCAAAGAAGAGGACTTTTTCTCAGATATGTAAGATTGGATTGGGTTTGGTTTCTGATGATGTCCACTCACCTTGCATAGAGAAGCATGTATGCTCCCTCTAGTAATACAGTCTCTAATTGAACCGGGAAAACCTGTGACTCGGAATGAAATCAAGAATCAAGAAAAAGAAAAAAATAGCATCATTGTGGTATAATTATAATAATGTTACTGAAACCTACATTGCTATCATCAATCTTGAACCAATCTCCATGAAGGGTTTTTATGTAGCAAACATAATGACCTGAAAATGAAGTGCTCATAGCATCTAAATGGACCACCACTGCGTAGAGACTATACACGGGATGATGATCCCTGTGGTTTGGCTTGCTCATGTACGGGCTAATATCGAGAAGCTCAGGAAAATGGATGGGTTTACTCAGCTTCCCAAAGTTATCAGACTGCATGAAGAAGAAATCATTCTTGTGAAAAAAACACAACAAATAGTAGACACCATCATCAAACTTAAAAGGGGATGAAGACCCTCCTCACCTGAAAACGTTTCAACACCACAGTAAGAATATTGGGTCCTTCCAGTATCATCAATTTCTTTTTGGCTTTCTGGTAAGATCTACACCTGTGGTTGTAAAAAAAAAATCAAACGAATTAAAGTACTTTTCAAGTAAAAAGATTTGGTTTTCAAAAGCAAATTCAACTACCTGCCACAGAAGTACCGGTTCTCTCCATCTAGGACTTCGTAGGCTGTAAATTGAGCAAGTGCATCTTCGAGGCTTCCTATATCCCCACCAATCTCGACGGTTAGATCCATCATCAGCTCCGATCGTTCAGATTTGTGGAGGCCTTTCATGCATTTAATCTGTGTATCATTCACCATAATTGGGATTACTTGACTGCCAGAATGAACAAACAAGGTACTAAAAACCGGAATACAAAATGTTATTGATATAACCTTAGAGTGAAGATATCCACCAAACGTAAAGCCTACTAAAGTAGTTTCTTCTGCAAACGGACCAGCTGCACCAGCCTCTTTGAGAAAAACAGATTGCATTGTATCAACAGCACACCTGACATTCTTATGAAAGTAAAATGTAATTCACCTTTGCGAAAAATATTAAAAAGCTACTAAAAGCATAACACATATATGATTCACCTTAGAAATTCGTGGGCATCTTCTTCCTTCCCAGGGCCAAGATGCTTCCCAATCTTTTGTAATCTTGATAAGATCTTGACAGGTGATAGAGGAGATCCTCCTACCCTTGACTTTAAAATTAAGAATTCAAACTCACAAACAAAACACCAACTCTTCTTTCGACCTGAAAACCCAACTACCAAGATGAGATTCCACATACAATAGTTTACACAGTAAGAGCAGTAAAAAATAATTTTGGCGTGCAAACTTACATGCTTTAGAATGTATTCCCCTAATTAGGTAAGACATAAGTGGCCGAGTGAATGCCAAGCACTGAAGAACAGCATTTGCATAACAACTAGAAAAGACATATGATCAATGATGAGCACAACTATACTTAAGACAGAATTACAGTAAAATCGCTTAGTCTAAAAATTGATCCAACTTTTTCTTCCAAATCTAAGAGTAAACAGCAAGGTTAGTAAAAGATAGATCGATAGGTACCTATTTCCCAAATTCACAAGGCCAAATGGCTGTAATTCTACTCTATCACAATAAAGTTTCACAAACATCTCATAAGAGAAGCTCGTCTGCACACAAAAAAAAAAAACAGTAACATCAGTGTGTAATAATGGCGGTAGATAGAATCATGGTACCAAAAACAAAAGAACTTTGCAATCATATTTTCTAGTAACCTCATCAATAGAACGCGAAGGTTGAGAAAGTTTTGACGACTTTGGGGGTCTAAAATGCTGAACAACCTTTTGCACCGATGTTTTCAACCCACTACTTGAAGCTTGTAACACTTTGGGCTTACTATTAGCTTTTGAAGGTAAGTGAATAGTTGAAGACGACATTGCGGCATAAGCCCCATATGGTTCAGATGTAGTTTTCCCATGTCCAAGTGCATTCATTTCTCCTTTATACTCAACTGAAAAAGATTGATTGGAAGCTGATATTTCAGCCGAATCAACTGGCCTGCGTGAATTTGGATTGCCATTTTTTAGCTGATTTGCATCAGTAAGTAGAGCAGTCTTGCCTTTGATACTGGCTGATTCAGCTTTCTCTGTGCGATGATGTGATTTCTTCCTACTCATTGGCCTCGTCTCATAGAAATTATCCTTAATGTTTAAAGAGCAAGTGAAATCTTCAGCTTCAGATCTGGCCTGTACCTTTTGAATACTAGGCCTGTTTGTAGAGACATCACAGGCAACATCAACAGACACGAAGCCATCATTATCCATCCTGTCGTTGGTGTCATCTAAAGGTATATCTAATGATGTTGATGATGATGATGGCATTCCAATATTTGACCCTTGTGCATCTGCAGAGAGTTTCAAGCCATCAAAATGTGAACCTTTTAGAATTAAAAACACTTAAAAGCTCAAGAATGTAAAGTGTTATTACCATCAGATATAACAGGCTTATCCTTTTCTCCATCATCGTAATCAGGAAGAGAAGGTGATCGACATTCCTCCTTGTGACCTCGTCGCCAATGAAGAATCTGACACTTGCTAGAACTAGAGAAACCCCAAAATTATATAAAAATGTATTCTTGGCGGGGGGAAACAGAAACAATATTACTCAATTGATAGAAAACGAACCAGTAACGGACGGATTTGCACTGAACGCAGCGAGTAGTGGTGGGGTAGAGACAAACGGCGCATCGATAAGCATCCGAAACAGAGGAAGAGGAGGAGGAGGAAGCGTATTCCACATTGGCTCGAAGATAAGATTCTTCGGTGGCTAAAGCGATAAGCCGAATAACCTCCTCCCTCTTGACAGCGGCGGATCTCCATTGCCGGCGAATTAGAAGAAAAACCAGCATCATAAATCCAATCAAGAGAAAATGAAACATCTTTTCTTCACCCGGCGGAGAGAATCAGAATCAGAATCAATCCGGAGGAGAGAAAGTGTAGGAGGCTGATCAACATTGCCTATTATTGAGGCGGAGGCGGCGGGTGTAAACGCCGGCGATGATGGTGCGAGTAAGAGGATAAACGGAATCTAACACGGCGGAGAAGATGGTGGCGATTGGAGAAGCGACGGCGAGTAAAGGATTTGGGCATCTGGAGAGATCAAAGCTAGAGAGAGAGAGAAAAGAGAGAAGGAAGAAATGAGAAATGGTCTCTACTTTTTAGTGTGTTTTTTTTTTTTGTAGAGAGAGAAAGTGAAAGAGGAAAGAGCAAGGAGGGAATAAACGTGCACTCGGTTTTTTGTCGTTTACGAATTTCCTTTTTTTTTCCTTTTGGTCCTTCTCTCTCTCTCCCTTTTCTATATAAGAGTCGCTCTGGTTTTATCGTTTTGGAATTCAAAAGGCTAATTCAAATTTCTAAAAAATTATATAATGACATTTAGCAAGCTTAACCAATAAGTCGCTTTGGCCGAGTGGTTAAGGCGTGTGCCTGCTAAGTACATGGGGTTTCCCCGCGAGAGTTCGAATCTCTCAGGCGACGATCACTTTTTGCTTATTTTCAGGTGGGACCCGACGACTAGTAGACGTTACGTCGCGCGTGTTTTAACTGCTTAGCTGACTTTGACTAAAAGTCAACGACCTCCTTCCACACACTACTTGTTTCAGGACGATCAAACTTTTTTGCCCGTTGCAAAAAGTTTTTCTAACTTTCGTTACTACTGTAATGGTAACCGCTATATTTGTTTAATTGTTTTTGTTTTTGCTAATTACATAAATTGCTTGGTTCAAAGTTGTAGGCCAAAATTTCACCATATACTAATGAACCAGAGGTGACTTTGCAGGTATAACAAAAAACCGTAAGAACCAGATTCTTCACCGGTTCACGTGTCTGGTACTACTAGTAGTTGTAGCCTCCTTCTCGGTAGTCTGTAGAATCTTTACATAGCATAGACCTGAGTTCCATCATTGATCTCGGTGGCTCCAAGTGCTCGGCCTTGAGAGCGTTCCCTAACAGACTTTGCATTTGTGTTGCAAAGATTTCATCCAAAACCTGAAATCATCGAATAATAAGAAGATAAGAAAAGCAGACAGAGAACATATTTAATTTACGCTTCTCAAAAGAGTAACTAACAGAAACTGCGATTCTCGGGCCTTTGTGCCAAGTCACGTTATCTTTCCTATCTTCCAACAGACGAAGCACATCCTGGAAGAAGAAAAGAATAGTGAAGCCAAATGCAGAAAAAAACAAAAAAAAACAGCCGGTGTAAACGTAATGTATTGTTGTTTCGAACCTGTCCCATTCGGTCCCAGATTCCTCTACAGACCGACACAAATACATCTGGTAAGAAAACACCGTGTAGATGATTGATGGTTTTGTCTAGCACATCTTTCAATGCCATCATTCTGTTTCTAACATCCGGTTCTGCTGTTGTTTCCCTTAAGTCGTGGATGATGCTCTTTAGCTTCATGTGACTTTGTATCCTCGTCTGTTTAACATAATAAAATCATCAACAAAAGGTGGCGAGAACGAAAACCCGAAAACAAAAAAAAAAAATCAAGTTTTTAGAGTACAAACATTCTCAGCGAGCTTCTCCACGAGAGCTTGCATATAGCTTCTGAATTTGGCTCTTAACAATACTGTAACCTCACTTAACCGCTCTCCCAATACTCTGTTTTCTCCGTCAGGGATATAAGAATTCCAAGACTTGAACCGGTTCTCTATACTCGGCCGTAAAATGTCAAGCACTCTTTTCATCGAGTTCAGAAGAACTCCAAGCTGTTTTCACCAAAGTTGTGTCAATATCTTCTCCTTTTACATCCAAGAAAACTTGAAATTTACCATAAGTAAGTAAGTAACATACCTCTTTTGGAGCAGAGTAAGGGTTAGGTGTGCCTTTGGTGAATTTCTGGACAATTTTCAGCCCAAAGATCTTACTTTCCTTTAACGGAGATAAAATCTCAGCAAACTGTTTCTCCATCGCTTCAACTATTGCCTTCTCCGCATCTGCTACAACCTTTTTTTTTTCCATGAACAACAATAACAGTTAAGAAGAAGTAGAAGATAATGAAGCTCAAAGCTCATACTAATTCATGCATTGTCAGGCCATCGTTTCTGAAGTTTACAGTAAGTGGAAACGAAAGAATGAAAATAAGTATTTGTAGTTTCACTTACTTTCTCCAAGGATATTGCATATTCTGGCCAACGCCTAATGATAATATCATATTCATCAAGTGTCCCATTGAGTCTCTCATACATCTCATCAACAAAAGGAGAAGTCAATCCCGGAATCTCGCCACATGCTTTTACCTGGAAAAAAAAAACCCCAGAATGTAATTCAATTTCGTTGGAAGAAGAGCTTTAGCATATTCTACGTTCTGCAGTAAACGATTAGTACCGTCTCTAGCTTGCAGAGTTCATATAAAACGCGTCTTTTCTCTTCAATCCAGCTTGTGATATATGAATAGAAAAGCTCTTTGGCGTTAACACCACCTTTAATATGACTGCAACATGACAACACAATATGTAAGTGTCTATCAGTAACAGAAAGAATAAAAAGAGATATAAGAGTAAAAAGTAGACATCAGTGAATTTACTTTATGTTCCAGCTAGAGATATCTCTCTGAAAGTCAGCAGTTGTGATAACAAGGTCAACAACCGCAGGTGATGGTCCAGGAGGAGGCCATACGAGAAGAAATTCCCGGAGCCTATTGCAGAGATCAACACTATATATTGCCGCTGATAGATTTGGAAGGTCTATAAAGCTGTTCGAGAGTTGAAAGAGAGAATCATTAGAAAGATATACTGAGAAGGCAAACAGTATATAATCTAAGTTAACATATATGCTGCACATCTTTGACTTGAAAGTCTTTAAACAAACCTTGGGAGCACATTGCAGTTATGGATCGCTATGTCAGTGGATATTTCATTCTTAAAGCTCAAGATTAGAGACTTCATCTTCTGATAAGAAGCTGGAAGTGCCATGGGATCAACTTGTGCAACACCTTCACTACGGTTGTTAAGTAAATCGTTTGTTTCCAATAAATGCCTCGTGGACCTCTTCTTTGAAGCAGCCTGAATGGTTTCCATAGGTAATTGGTTCACATAGATGAATAAGAAAATATGGTTAAGAAACAGATAAAGAGCTTGGGTGATACCTGAAAGTATCTGCAAAGTTTCAGCTGTGCCTCAGGGGTTAATACATCGTTGAGAAGACCATAAAGCTTGACAGCTGATTCTATCGCCGGGGCTGGAGTCCCTGTAGCAGACTCAAAAACATCTTTCATCCCGGAGAAAGACAGTTCATCAAGTGATTTATAGTTCTCAAATGCTGAAGCAAGAATCTGCTGAATTTGTTCGTCAATTTCCCCCAGTAACCGATTCTGTCAAGAAGACACCAGACAAATTTAGTAACCTACTTGAATAAGAAAATAGCTACTTGACAATCAACACTACCCCACCTCTTGATGACTCAATACAGCCTTGTGGTTGCTTTTCATTATAATAGGGAATAGAAATTCATGTATCAGATCAAGACAGTCCTTGGTAGGCGATGCGACATCCATGACATAAGAGAGATATCTGCAAATTTTTACAACACTACTTAATTGCCGCAAAGATAATTTAAGACACTAAACCATTACTTTGTCATTCAATTCTTACCTTAATCTTGTGTACGCATCTGAAATCCCAAAATAGGATGCGAATCGAGTAATCAGCCAGTGCCATGGGCCCTTAAACACTAAATTTCTTCGCTGAAATCGTTCTGCTTTCATAGCCACCTCTAGGACAATATCATACGCTGAAGTTTCTGCCACCAACCCACACTTAGTTTTTTCATCTAGACTGCTTGAGTAACTTAGATAAAGCTGGATTCTCCCAATAAGTTCATGCTCTGGTTCGTGATATATTGGCCACCACCGCAGCTTCTCGGTCTGCATCCGCAAGGGAAAAAACGTTAGATCTTCTGCTTTACTATCTAGTGGACTCGGCGATCTGAAAACATAAGGCTTATGATAGAGAGAAGAATATTACCGGATCATCAACTATAGCTGCTAGCTGAGCTACAACACGACCAAGGAGTTGCCCCTTCGAATCTCGAACTTCAATGATCAAATCATCACCAAGATTATCTGGTAAGCTACAAGAGAAAAGAAAATTAAGCTCCACCTACAAAAGAACTAGAAAGAAAGGTCCTCAATGATCACGAGAGCAAACAAGAGCACATACAAAATAAAAGCCTCGCCAGATCCAGGTTGCGTCTTAATTTGGTCTTCTTCAGCAGAGCTCTTTAATCTCAATGAACAAGAAAATGTTTCTGAAAACAGAAAGAATCAAATACCGATGACCAATATACGAAAATGGGTAATGTCCAAAGTAGAATGCAATACCTTGTACTGCTTCATAAGTTTGCGGTCCAGTGTGTGATGTAACCATTTCTTTTTTAAAGGCCTTTGAGACCTGTTTAAGGTAGCGAGCAGCTGCCTGCAGGTAAGCCAAACTTTGACGCGAAAGTGAACCATTTAGAGGAACTTGAGGAGTGACATGAACTTTCTTAGCTGCTTTCCATCCAGAAGATAAAGTCAGATTTAGTTCCGCAATATGGTGACGAACAACTTCGAGCTTTTCCTTGGAGACCGTTAGTGATGCAATGTTGGTTAGTGATGCAATGTTACAGCCAGGTGGTGGTTCTAATCCCATTTTAACTCTACGAACTGTACAAAATCATACTCTCATAAGCACCGCTGCTGCAAAAAAGGTCAAAATGCAATGGGAGGAGAAAGATATACGAATGTATACCTTGGAGTCTAATTTTTCCAATAGTTTTCTTTGCTTTTGGAGCCGATGTCTCGGTACCAACTCAGAAGGTCCCTTTCCCAGTAACTCTTCCTCAGATTGAAGGAAAAATTTCTCCAAACTAAATGCATTTCGGATTATGGTGCATTCGTTGTTCAGGAAGTAAGAAGCCTCACTGACACTATCCATTGACCATGAATGAAGACATAGCCGCACACAGGCTTCATAGGCAATCATCGCAGACCATGGACCCTGCTCACTGCATTTCAACAAAAGAAAAATGTGGGAATGAATATTCTAAAAAAAAAAATATATATATATATATATATATCGAGAGAACAACATAGAAAGTCAGCAATGTCACTCAACCTTGCGTGAAAAGTTGGGAAACGGGGAGCCAATGAACTCATCGAAGTGCTAGTCCCGTTCTGGGTCCTTCCTGAAGTTCCAGCCTCAACATTTCTTCTTGTTTCACCTTCATTACGCGTAGATGTATTGTTCCTCACACCACAAGCTTCTGCTTCCTGTACATATTATAACCAAAACTCAGAACAGGAGTAATCACAACAAAGAAAAAGAAGACAAGAGAGGGAAAAAAATACATATGAAACTTCTGTGCTTGTAGCTGAGTCTGATAAGTCATCTACACCAAAACCAAAGGCCTTTACACCATTACGCCCATGTCCGTTTTGAGCAGCCATTTGATACAAGTGAGGCAAGCCAACATGAGTATTATAATCTTGAGGAGATCGTTGAGGTGAGTGGTGCCTCTCGTCTGTCTCTTCATCTGAATTAGAAACAATGTCCATGTCTGAACTTGAGCCACCATTGTTACTACCTCTCGCCGGTTTTTTGGCTGAGAAAAACGGAGGAGCACTCCCGAGTCCAAAACAATGACCAGCTTTCCCCGAATTCGCATTGGCAACAGATTTACCATCCAATTTCCGGTTACCGATCGTCCACCTCGAACCAACATCCTATTAACATCTTAAAACGAACATAGTTATAGTGAATCAAACAAACACCAGAAGTTGAGTTAGAGAAACAGATTGAAAACATACCTCCCCTAAGCTTCTTAAGCCAGCTTCGTTGAACATTGTACCTTGACCTAGAATTCAGAAATTCCACAGCGATTATTAGCCAAAACTTTACCAAAAACAAACCAAAATGCAGATAAGTTCATTTCACATGATCCAACTATAAAATCTAAGCTCTATACTCAGAATAACGCGCAACTGAAATCCCTAGCATATAGCAACTGAAACCTAACGAAGCGAATAATAATCAAACCAAGAGACGGCTACACAAGCAAAATCCTGGTGAAACGACCGAAGAGAATGTAGAAAGAAGAAGTAAATAAAGAATGAGAATTGCTTTTTTCACTTCCACGAGATTCACATGAAAGATGCGAAATCGTGAACGGAAACTCGCGAAATTGAAGAATCGATCTACTAATCTAAACGGATTAAGTAAATGCATTTGCTTACCACTGCCCCAACAAGAAAACTCCTCGAGTTTTTCTCAGTGAGAGAAAACAAGTGTGAAACCGAAATTCCCAGTAGAACAAACTGGTAAAAAAAAAGAAAAGAAAAAATATCCCTCTAAACTGAGAGAAGTATTACGACTACGGAAGGAAAATTTCCGGCAGTGACAGTCATTGAGTCGTCGTATTCCAGTATATATGAAGAAAAATGTAAAATGTAAGAAAAAAGAAGATCGATGAAGAAGAAGATCGTATATTCCTTTTTTTATCTTCCCTTTTCTTTTCTTTTTATCACTGTGTTTAGTAAAACTTGCGCCATGAGGAAAAATAATATATATATACACATTTTATACGGTGAGTTGATTTGATGGAGCGGAGAAGAGAGCGGCGTTGGATGGAGACGTCAATTAACGGCGACGGAGACTTTAAGACTATGGCGTCAAACTGACGTGTCAAGTGGCGACACGCCCTTTTCCATAACGGAAACGTTACGCGCGCGTGACGGTGTGCCTATCGAAGGCTCGAAGCACTTTTTTTTTTTGAAGCTCAAAGCACTATGTTTTTTTAGTTTGAGAATTTTGGATTTTGGCAATTTAATTAGAAATAAATGCGATTTACGAGTAATTTCTTATGTCAACATTTCTACGAGTCATAGAAACTTTAAGTATCTTAATTATGATGTATATTTTTTTTACGATAATCGAAATAACTTGCAATTATTAACAAGATAGTAATCGATTTCTTTGCATTTCGTTCTAATGATGTGGTCGCATTTGATGAACCAACTCTCTCTTTTTTTCCTGCCTAACAAATGTCTTGCAGGATCTCAATTATTCCATTTGACTAGTGGAGTATTAAATTTATGGAGCATAAATTTCATCAATTGTCATTTATTGAAAACACAATTAACCCACACAAACGAATACAATTAATTTGATCCGGCGTTTAAAAGTTTAATCTATTGGAAAATGTGAAAACTAATTAATTGCTCGTTTTTTGTCAAACTAGTTAATTTCTTTTTTACTGCTATGCATTTTAATCTTAGAAAGAAAAAAAGAATAATATCAATGCGAAAGAAATTAGACAACTTTTTTTCTTGTCTTCACATGTCTTTTTCTCCGACCGCGTTAGTTGTGTCCAGGTCACGCCGAAAACGCATATGCTTAGCCAGCAAGGTATAGCCTTGATGGGCTTCAGGAGTCTCATAACAGACCCAATTAAAAGCCCATTTTTCTTAATTTTTTGACTTTGAACAGTGTCAACTGGTTTAGAAGCTGACCCACTAAAATATTATTATCGTCCATTCACTCGCTCTTATCGAAAGACCAAACCCTAGCCACCTTCCCACGCGCCTCGTATCCTCCACGTGAGTATCACGTACTAAAGTTTATTTCAAATAACGGCGTCGTTTAACTTATAGACTATTGATTCACGCGCGAGTGGAGAGAATATCGTTTTACAGCTCATTGTGACTCGAGACTTTCTTTATTTTTCCCCTTTTATTCTTCTTTTCTTCTTCTTCTCAATTTCCCTTTTTTTCCTTGCAGAAATTTCCTCCGATTTCAAATTTTCCCGTGAAAAAAACAGAAAAAGAAAGAAGAAAAATCGAGATCTCTCTAATGGCGGCGGCGACGTTGAGCAGAGATCAATACGTGTACATGGCGAAGCTAGCCGAGCAAGCGGAGCGTTACGAAGAGATGGTTGAGTTCATGGAGCAGCTAGTAACCGGAGCAACACCGGCCGGTGAGCTAACCGTGGAGGAGAGGAACCTTCTCTCCGTCGCGTACAAGAACGTGATTGGATCTCTCCGCGCCGCGTGGAGGATCGTGTCGTCGATAGAGCAGAAGGAAGAAGGGAGGAAAAACGAGGAGCACGTGTCGCTGGTCAAGGATTACAGATCTAAAGTTGAGACAGAGCTCTCTTCGATCTGCTCTGGAATCCTCAGGCTGCTCGACTCGCATCTCATCCCTTCCGCTACTGCCAGCGAGTCAAAGGTCTTCTACCTCAAGATGAAGGGAGATTACCATCGCTATCTCGCCGAGTTTAAATCTGGAGATGAGAGGAAAACTGCTGCTGAAGACACCATGATCGCCTACAAGGCTGCTCAGGTTTCTTACTGTGAATCGATCTACTTTTAATTCCTACTCTTTAGCTAAAACCCTGATTTTTCTTCAATAAATCAATCCGTGATCAGTTCTTCCCATTTCCTAGTAGCTAATTAGAGCCTCAAATTGAGCTTCTCTACTCATCAAATCGTTACAAGTAGTCAAATTTCACAATTTCGTCTTAAAGAGCATCATTCAGTTGCTTCCATAGTCTGAGAAGTTCTAAAAATATGTATTTTTGATCATTCATGCTCACACGAATGTTCTCTCTTTCTATGTAATGTCTTTGAAGGACGTAGCAGTTGCTGATCTAGCTCCTACACATCCGATCAGGCTTGGTCTGGCCCTCAATTTCTCTGTGTTTTACTACGAGATTCTCAACTCTTCAGAGAAAGCTTGTAGCATGGCCAAGCAGGTATTCTTTCTTTGTTTCTCTAATCTGCATGTTTGTTTCAAGTCGAAGAATCCGTCAGGTACAAATAGGATTCATGGTCTTAGTTTGGTTGTGACGAGTATTTTCTCTGTTGCTTGCTTGATGATTTTTTGAGTGACTTATTGACCACTTGTTCACTGTTCCTAGTGTCCCCATCTTTCCATTCATTGTGCTCGGTTGATTTTGAATAAATTTTGACAATTTTACTAGAAGTTTGTTCATAAAAAGTAACTCTTTCTTCCTTCTCAAAGGACCCACTCCTTTTAATAACAGAGATTCTAAAGAAAAAGACATTCTGCAAAAGTCCCCTTCTTTATAACTTTTTTGGCCTACGCTTCACACTAACCAAATTATTCCTTTTGTCAGTAGAACGACATACATAATTAGAAACCATTACATCTCATACATTATGGATACCAAATTTGAGTAATGCTAGAGATCTGAATCATTAAGGTTTTGGACATCTCATGCATCATCGCGTATGAACTAAGAGGTATCTGATCATTAACTTGTGCTTGTTGGATTCATCACCTGTGTAGGCATTCGAAGAAGCCATTGCTGAGCTGGACACATTGGGAGAGGAGTCATACAAAGACAGTACTCTCATCATGCAGTTGCTAAGAGACAATCTAACCCTGTGGACCTCCGATATGCAGGTTTGTCCAGTAATCAACTCTTGTTCATATTCAATCACATCATTAGAATTCGCTTAGTGTTGTGATCATACATAGATACTCTTTTATAAGACCATGCGGGATAATGACATCCCAAAAAAAAAAACTCAATGATTGACTGCTTTATTCAGGAGCAGATGGATGAGGCCTGAGGGTCGTATGGAAGAAAAGACGGTTATGTAACGTTCCCGCAACCGTGTCGACTTCAAACCCCAAAACCCTCTTTGCTCTAAAACTTGTCGAAAAAAAAATGTTTTTTTTATGACAGATTATGTGCACAGCTTTGGTGTTATCTGCTGCTCTGTTCCTACTCTGTTTTTCTTTCAAAATTTATATTTTAATCCTCATCTTTTCTTTTCTTTTCTTTTCTTTTCTTTTATACTGCAAACAAATTATTCAGTTCCCCAAAAGGCCCAAATCTTAGCTGGGCCTGTGAATTCTTCCAGTCTCTAAAAGCCGAATTCTAGGCTGTGAAGAAACGCTGCGTTTAGGATTTAGTTTAAAACATTATTTCACTTGGGAGTGGGGTAATTCTCGTTTACGGTTTGGTTTTCTATTCCTATGGTTATATGGGTTTTATGAAATAAACACATTTGTAAATCAGTTGATTTCGATTGTATTTAATAAGATTTCGGTTTGACTTGGTTCAAGTACACTGAAATTGCTTTCGTTTTCGGTTTTTCAGGTTTCTTAAGTAATAATGGTTTATAAAAAAAATTTGTTAGACACGGATTTTCTTAAACAGTAATTTCAAGAATCAAAGGTTCGAAGCTTTCTTCCTTTTTTTATAGAGTGTTTGCGTTCTTCTCCGAGCCCAACCCTTACCCGCTAGAAATTCTTTAGAAAGAGGCTAATTTAAAATATCGGATCGAACCATCAGGCCATGTGATTAGGACAAAGTTTTCGTCAAGTTGACCACAGGCGTGCATGAAACACAAAAATTATACTTATTCACAATAAAGAAAATTTTATAGAGGCAGGATCTAAAAGTTCGAATCTCCGAACACACAAAGATAAGCAAAACATCGAAAGTGTACTTGGACCACTTTTGTCTGGCATTTGCATGCATAAAAGAAAATAAGATAAAACTAAAAAAATCAGAAAGAGGGAGTCTTTTTGGCCTAATTTTGAAAACCTCTTCTTTACTTAAACCTTTGTTTCTTCTTACCAATCTTTTCAGAAAAGATAAAGACTGTAAAAACATTAAAGTTTTTTTTTTTTTTTAGAAAGGGTTTTAACAACACTAAAGTAGTCAAGTTTATAAGCTCGCACGTGATTTCATTTCACGTTGTTACTAATACCAAAGAAAAACATTTTGGTGATAATTGTAGAAAATAATACGTGAAATGTGGTATTTTAAAATTGTATGTTAATAATAACAAATAAATTGTTGAGTTGAAACCTATGGGTCGCTAATCATATGAAGTAAATTCAAGCAAAAGAAAAAAATTATACTAATCACTTCAAAAAATATAATAATGTAGTATCTTTGGATGCCACCATGGGTTCGAAAACGTGACCTCCACTTGGGGACAAATAAATATACTATATGTAAACCAAAGACCGTATAGTTAATTCCTATACATGTTGATTGTTGGGTAAAACCGAAGCCAGTATCTTTGGGTAAAATAAACCATATTAAAGAAAGGCCATGCTGTGTAAAAACACAAAGACGACCATTTTTTATATTTTAAAAACAAAGATCATATCAAGTTAGTATATGAGATAGTTCTTATACATACACTATATTCAAAGGCATATGCAATGATGTACTAATTGAAATTGTTGTATCTACAATTGACCTTATACTCAAAAACAGTGGTCAAAGATCAATCAGCAGATGCTTCAAACATCATTATTCATGGATTCTGAGTTTAAAAAAAAATCCTTTGTATTTATGGCATGTTAATACATTAGTTTGTTTGGATCATTTTAATCTTTGTTCAGTTTGATTAGATTTTTCTTATGTTTTGTTTTTCTTTAAAACACATAAGTGATAAAAATATTTTTTAAAGTTTACTAGATTGATGTAATGATATAGTTCTTTTTGTGAAAATATTCGTCGAATCATCAGATTTTGATTTCTAAATCTGATGATTCGACGAATATTTTCACACAAAAAGAATCATATAAATCAAATCTGATGATTCGACGAACATTTTCATAAAAAATAGAACCATATCATTATATCAATCTTGTATACTTTGGAAAATAATTTTTCACTTATATGCTTCAAAATACCATAAAATATTGATCCCATTATATCTAAATTCATGAAAAGCTAAAAATTGTTTTCAAAATTTCAACGAATTGGATACTGTTTAAACTGTTAGTCAAACTATATTTATTGTAACTAGAACGAAGAATAAGTAACATGAAATACATATCATGTAAAAGCATATAATGCGATCACATTTTTCAACTTTAGCTATTTCAGCCTTTTGAATATACAAAACTTTAGACTTTTACCGCGTATAAAATACCAAAACTCAAATTCCCGACTGTAATACCGAACCACCCAACCGGTATTTCACTTGATTTATCAACCAAGAACTAAAATACAACGAATAAAACCAACAAACTCTATTTCTTACATCAAGTTTCAAACACGTTTCCATAAATTTTCCAACTAGGAAACATTTGTTACCATGATGGTCAAATCACTTTCTAAAATGTTCAATTTTCTACTCTGTGATCCTCTTCCCAAATTATCTTCTTTCCCACACATTACCCACTTACCATGAAAACCCACATTTCTTAACTTCCTCAATATAAAGCACCTCCCTTTAATTTTAACCCTCAACCTCAAAACAACAACCTCCTCCACGAGGGCAAAAGGAAAAGAAAAAAAAATCAAAGACCCAATCTTTCTTTCACTTGCCAATCTCTAGATGACAATCCTTCTCCAAATTTCCTAACAACATATTCTTTTTAGATCGCAAAAGGGAACAATATTACTTTTTTGAACACTCTGTTACAATGGCAGAAAATCTAGAACTGGGCCTTTTGTGTACAGAGACCAACGTTGGTGATGAAGAGAACGGCATGATTGTTGACAAAATTCCGATTCTTGTTCGTGAAATTTCGATTCCTCAGATGGGTTTTCCATCGGAGAGCGAAGAGATTATCAGAGAGATGATGGAGAAGGAGAAGCAGCGTTTACCCAGAGATGATTACATCAAGAGACTCAGAAGTGGAGATTTGGACTTGAATGTCAGAAGAAGAGAAGCCCTTAATTGGATTTGGAAGGTCTGATTTTTATTTTGTTTCTTCCCTTTTTGATTAAATTGGCATGTTGATTGGTTTAAATCATCTATATGTGCTCAAATTCTGAAAATCACATCCCTTTTGATGAATGATCTGGACATACAGAATTTAGAGGCTTATGCAGAACAAAGAGGCAGCTTTTGCCTTAAATCTGTGAATCTGATGCTCAATTGACAATAGATTCACTTCAATCTCAGAGTTTTAGATCTCTGGAAGCTAGAGAAAGAGGAAAGGAGATAAACTTTCTGATCTATCTCTTATTCTAATTACAACAGGCTAGTGAAGCACACCAGTTTGGACCATTGTGCATTTGCTCATCAGTGAATTACTTTGATCGATTCTTATCGGTTCACGATCTCCCTGTAAGTTCACATTGATTCAACCAAAAGATTGAAAATGTTTTCAGCCCTGCATCATCTGAGAGTCCCATTTTTTTGTAGCTTCCTGATTTATGATTCTTGTTGTAGAGTGACAAAGCTTGGACGGTGCAGTTGCTGGCTGTGGCTTGTTTATCCTTGGCAGCCAAACTTGAAGAAAGTGAAGTCCCGATGTTAATAGATCTTCAGGTGCTAATGATCTCTCCCAGAAAACTCGCTAAATTGACGAGATGTTATCAATCGGATAATCTCTTGACTCAGTTACGGTTTTGGTCACATTGTGGAACAGGTTGGAAATCCTCAGTTTGTGTTTGAGGCGAAATCAGTCCAAAGAATGGAACTTTTGGTGTTGAACAGATTGGAATGGAAATTGAGAGCGATAACTCCGTGCTCATACATAAGTTATTTCCTGAGAAAGATGAGTAAATGTGATCAAGAACCATCCAACGCACTGATATCCAGATCACTACAAGTGATAGCCAGCAAAACCAAAGGTGAAAGAGCTCTCTCTTCTTTATGTTTTATTTTCTTGACCCACTTTTGTTTTTGTGCTTTTTTGGGCTTTTCTATAACTTTTGCTTTTTATGATTTTGGGTGAAAAAAAAATTTGGACTATAATGATGGTTGTGTGAGTGAGCAGGTATTGACTTTTTGGAGTTTAGACCTTCTGAAGTTGCTGCTGCTGTGGCACTTTCTGTTTCTGGAGAGTCGCACACAGTACACTTTGACAACTCTTCCTTCTCTCCTCTTTTCTCGCTTCTTCAAAAGGTAAAAGATATTCCACCAAAAATCTCAAACTCATAATTCTATTTCTCTAATATACAATAGAAAGCAGCAATTGGCTGTTCAATTTCAAGGAAATGCCATTTGTAGAGAAGATTTAATAAAGATGACACGTATATATATATATATATATATGTGTGTGTGTGTGTGCACTAAGCCACTAACTAATGCATTGCATACACATGTGTAATTATATATTTTTTTTAAAAAATGTTACAAAATAAAGGAACAGGTAAAAACTGGTATATGGGTCTGAATCCTTTGACTTCCAAAACTAGTGGAGCGTATAGACCAAAGACCACTTTGAAGTTTATTATTCTATAGCTGTGTATCTTGTGACTCTTCTTTCTTACTCACATAAGCACACTCACTGCACACTCCAGTCATGTCTATAACCAAATCTTGCCCCCCACAAAACATGCTGTGGTATGGTTGCTTGTGATTTGATATTGCTATCTTACAAAATCAGACTGCTTTCCATTTAGATCTTCTTTTTCTAGACCTAAAAAAGCTGATGTGATCGTTGTGTTTTGTGTTCAAGCGACAAAACAAAGCGTCAAGTTTTAAACTTTGCTGGTCCTTACTTGCTTAAACTCTGTTTCAGGAGAGAGTGAAGAAGATTGGGGAAATGATAGAGAGTGGTGGCTCAGGCTTATGTACACAAACACCCAATGGGGTTTTAGAAGTATCAGCTTGTTGTTTCAGCTTTAAGACTCATGATTCTTCAACTTCTCATACACATCTTTCTTAAATTTCTCTGTTTTGTTTCTAATTTACTATTATTCCTATGTCTGAGGAGAAGATTGGAAAAGAAAAATAATCATAGCAAAAATAAAAATTAAAAAATTAAAAACGAGTATTTCGATTCCAGTATTAATTTTGTTTCTAGCTTTGTTTATACTTATACTACGCAAATAAATAGGATGGATGATATTAAGACTTTCTTATTGGTAGGAAATAAGAAAGAACAAAAAAAAAAGAAACAGAGAATGTTTTTTGTGTTCCCGCCAAATAAATATAGCGGGAAAAAAACCGTATCGGTTCAGTTGGATCGCTAAGAGTTGACTTTCCGTTGTGAATGTGAAACCCTTTTAAACGGTGTCGTTTAAATATATAAATCGCGCATGGGAATAATGGGCTTAGAATTGGACACACTAACAGAAATCTTTAACTTCAAGTTGTCGTAAGAGACCCAACTATATAAAAACTTATTTATGGAGGATTTGTGCTTTCTACCTTTTACAAACAAAAAGTCCAAAATCTAAAAAAAATATAGTGTTTCACAAAAAACCATAAAAAAAGTTTATAAAATGATTGGAGTCCAGGTCCACTAAACATCTAGGTTCTGCAACTATATGAAATTATGAATAATGGGCCAATCCTATATATAAAAATAATCATTTGGCCAACTGATGTCGTTTGGTATACCATCGATTTTGACGATCATCAAATAAAATAATTGTGTTTGGAGAAAAATAAAGATTTTCTCTCTTTATTTTTGGTATCAGTTTATCAATATATTTTCAACCTCAAAATGGTAAAAATCTCTATTTGTCACTAAAAATGGGTCAAATCATTCCAAGCTTAAATGTGTGAGAATAATTTTGTTTTTCCACCAAGTGTGAAAATAGATTTACTAGAACTTTAAGAGCGTAATTATTCATAACAAAATCATGATACATAACAAGAAATTACATTTAAACAGGGGAATTATAAATATAGTACCATTTTAAAAAAATATTAAAATTTATAGAAAGGTGAATTTAATATATTTACGGTAATTAATACACAAACAAATTCTAGTTTATACTAATATTTTTTCAAATAGATACAATAATTATACGCATGATATGTGTATGTGTGTGTGAAAATTTGAAATGAAGAACTATTTGGACTGTGGACTAAGACCATCATTATCGGAGTATTTAGCTAGGTCTCTTATAAATTTTTATTAATAAATTTAATGAAAGTTAAGTTTTTTTGTTAAAAACGTTTTTTATTTGGCGACCAGAAGAAACGTTTCTCGTGCCAGGTGTCAAACCAGTACAGGTTAAAAATGCTGGGGGAAAAATGTTAATCGTTTTTTTCTGGGTTTTTTTCTTCATTCTTTCCTTGGCACAAAATTTTCTTCTATGATCCAGTTTTGATCAAACAATTGCGGCATGCAAGTCGAACAATTTATTTACTTCTTTGATCGAGTTTTGTTGATTTTTCTCCAATCGATTTGATTCTTCAAATTATGTGCTACGAAAAATGGTGTCAATGGCTGGTGGTCAATGTGTGTCGCTTCGCCGTCGTCTTCTTCATCGCTGCCGGGGAAAAACTCAGCAATTCACAATTCGTACTGTTCTCCAACCACTGTTAACTTGCACTGAGTTGGCCGCATTTTATCCTCAGTTCCGTCTTTTCACTCGCATTTCTCCGTCCCGCCGCCGCCTTTGCGCTTCCAGCTCCGCCGATTAGGGAATCTTCCTACCTCACCTCGTCGCTTCTATGGTTTGCGCTTCTCCTTCGTTAATCTGTACTTCAAATTCACCGAGTACTGATTGAGCTTCGAAATTAGGAATTAATGGTCTCGTAATCTTGTTGCAATCTACGCTGAATCTTTCGGTTTCTACCATTGCAGACATCAAAACACTTTAGTCTCTTATTTAAGTTTTTAAACTAGTTTATTAATAAACAATTCAACAAAAGACCCAAATGGGTTTCTCTGATAATGATGCTCTAAGTTAAGACAACAACACAAAACAAATAAACTTTTATAATTCTTTCATTGGGCTTCGTCATAATGAGTCGTCATAGTCATTCATCTGTCCAAAACAAAAATATATTAGTATATTTTCTTATTTTCCCTTAAAATGTTGCTAAAGTACTAAAAGTTATATATGGCTTCAAAACTTTTTTCAACCTTTGCTTTTTCTTTTATACCTATATAACTAAAGAGAATATACTTTTCCCTTTTGTATAAAGAAAAAAAAACTTATATCAAGAAAATAAAACTAATGTCATTAATTAATTACATAAAACGTACAATCATTTAAATTTTGGTTTCCAAGTGACTAATCTTTTTTTTTTTTGTTAAAGGTCCTTCACCCAAGTGACTAATTAACTCTATTCTGAAAAAAAATCACTAATTTTAAAACTTTGCTTGTGAACAGAAAAGTGGGAAATTTATTCACTGCACGTGAATCATCATCACTTTCCCAAATTAGGGCAATGTTTTTGAAGATAAGAGTATGGGAATATCATCTAATTTAAAGAAAGAAGAAACCCTAACCCTAGCTGGTCCTATATATTTGTTTTACACAATCAAATCGAGCTTGTTTGTTCTTTTTTGTTTTTAATTTATAATATGTTACTTGCTTCGAAACTTAGCTTGAAAGGGTGGTAATAAAACCCTGCTTGTGGGGCACATTTAGATTCCCTAAATGAAGCATAACGACAGTAACTATTCTACAGTAATAACACTGTGATCATGATGATTGATGATGATGATGAATTGATGATGATGATATACACGTATACACGCATGTATATATGTATGGTACACATTATACATATTGACAGGTCGTTGTCCGATGGGTTTCTGCGTATTGACTGAAAGATTCCATAAAGAGGACCACAGTAAAAACTAAATGAAGATTTGTTTTTTTGGTAAAAAAACAAAAATATGCTTAAATATACAATAATTGTATGATCTGATCAAAAAATTTGTACACCAATACTTTTTTTACCTTGCTAGAAAAACAAACCCCTAAAATTTTATTTACTTAACTGCGTCTCACTACTTTCTATGAACATTTATTACATATCCAAACTCCAACGTATGGTACGAATATCTCTCATTACTGCAGCAGCCGAGTAAACATTTTTCACCTCTGAATAAATCTTTTAATCATATACAATACCACTTCATTATGCATGTCCCCATCATTAATTGTTTTTATACAAGCCCGTTTATGTAGCAATATATGGAGTCCACTCTACCAAAATTAACCTATCATATCTGGTCACTAGAGTGTACGTTTTAGTAATACTGTACTAATTTGTAAAACAGATAATCGTGAAGTTCAATATCAACTTTAAGACTTGATTTTTTAACTAATTCACTCTTAGGACAAGCTAAATAATCTTAGATAATTAATCTCATGCTTTCCGTGAGTAAAAATTAGAGAGAATGACAAAAAAAGAAACAAATTTATAGTTATTTAGGTTTTGAAAGTAGTCAGATAACTAATATCGGGTGCAAAATGTCAGAACAATAATATAAATAATGGATTAACAAACGTTAATTAATCATTATTCGGAAACATGTACTAATTATCAAACTCGATCAAAGTACGCTAACTAATTGAGCTACAGGCGTTTAAAATTTGTGAAAACAAATTTTTGGACCACAAAGTCAGCTTCGGTCTTGGAGTGTGCAGCTTTAGTTTCGACAAGAAGGCGTAGAGATTGCCTTATCAAGCAAAAGCATCTCTCTCAAGTCCCTTCATTTGTGTGTATATTTGGCTCTCTTTCTCTCTTTACTTTGCATTGTCTCTCGTAGAGAGGAGAGAGAGAAGATGGAGAGGTTGAGACATGAAAGGCTAAATATGGAAATGGCCGTGAGATGGGGACTCGAATATTATCTGCCTCTTCTTTCCTTTTTCAATCATTTCGGTTCCCTCTTTCCTCTGCATATTTCGTTGCATCACCACTCAAAACCCTAGTTTCATTTTAATTCACTTTTTCTTGTTGGTATCAGGTATATATATATGTAAGATAGAGAGATGTACATACCTCGGATTATTCACAAATCCATTTGAATACAATTACTAGGCTTAACCACTTCTAAGCTTACAAAAACTTGCTCAATTTGTCTTTATTTAGTTGTGCTATTAATTAAATGATTTATTGAAGAGGATATTAAACATGGATCCAATGGAAAAAAATGTTGTCGATTGAATTCGTTTACTGGTAATAGTGTGTATATAGAAAATAGGAACAAAGAAATGAAGTATACTAATGATTAGAATGATCTTAAGAAAAATAAACAAATTAATTTCAGGTGAAAGTCTAGGGATTTGGAAGAACATCATTAGTGTAGTTATGTATGTGTGTGCCCATCTGTTTTTTCTCTCTTCTCCTTCATGCTTCCAAAGAGCCTACATGTCTCCTTCACCAGATCTTTAAAGAACAATACTTTATATACATATATGTGCACATAGACTATACAAATATTAATAACTAGAAAGACATATACAGAGAGGATGAAGCTTTGGATGCATCGACAAGTTTCGAGTTTTTTTGTATTTTTTTTTTAAGTGAAGAATTTTTTTTCCAGGAATCAGAATACTGTTGCAGCTACTAGCTGATGTGATTTCACCTTTTTCATTTCCAAGGGAAAATAAATAAATAATTTCATTAAAATTAACAAATTTATATATCAATACTGATTGGTTAGTCAGGAATCCACGCATACATGATATGTATAAGCCATTGAAAATTTTTTGTAGGGCAGAAATCTCCATCCCAAGGAGATTCCGACCGATCCACATTCGAGTCTTACACTCATTGGACAATTAAATGAGAACTATATATATTATCTCAGCAAACATATAATAATAACAATAATCGTAACAAAATTAACAATCATCACTATGTGTATGTCTGTGTAAGTGTGTGGGAAGAAAAGATCAAGAAAATATACCGACTCTCAAACCCTAAGAACCTAAGAAACAAGAACACTAATTGTCAGATCTATAAATGTGCGTGTGTGTAGAAAAAAAGGTCAAGAAAATATAATAACAGTCACAAACACCAAAAACTAATTAGGAAACAAGAACAATATCAACAACTAGATGCTGAGGAAGCACTAAAAAGATGAACAAACAAAAACATATACGAATCATATGCTAACGAAGACGCATAGACATATATAATGCATACACACAATAATACACACATTTGCACGAGATCATATAAAATTCAAAGACTGACACATGTGATGCTACTACGGACGTCACTAATAAATAACTAGACAAACAAATCAAGGATTTGCTAAGAGATTTAGAAGTTAATAATGAAAAACGTAATTAACCAGAAAGATCAACATCATCAACAGACGAAAATGGGTACATAAATTAAACAATAAAAAACCCTCTCAAATTTTCTCAAGTAACAAATTAGCTAAAAATTAAAACCCTAGTAGTAGTGATCAAGAAAATGCAAGATTCATGGTTGGTCTTGTTCATGATGAAACGAAGTAGACTGTGGAGGAGGAGGAGTTGGATTCTGATGATGATGATGATGATGAAGTGGTGGCGACGACGACTTACCAAGAGTGTGTTTGTTGTTATGTAACCAAACCTTAAGAACCTGTCTGGGAACTCCAGTCTCCTGACAAAATCGCTGAATCAATTCATCGTCTTGTCTCTGAATTCTCCATCCAATCCTCTCAGCTAAACCTAACATCCTCTCTTTCTGCTCCGCCGTGAATTTAGTCCTAAACCTCTTCCTAATCCCTCCTCCTCCTCCTGCCTCCGCAGAAGAAGTCTCCATTCGATCTTCTGATCTCTCTCTTTGTGGTGGAGGAGGAAGAGCGAGCTGAAGAGTAGGAGCTTGTGACGGTGGTGGTCGATAACTCACCGGAGCTGGAAGACGGTAGAATCCCGGCGGTGGAGGAGGAGGCTGTTGCGGCGGCGCGTGGTGGTGGAAGTAAGGTAGTTCCTTGCGGTGGAAGTTACGGTGACAGCCACAAGCGGCGCATTTTAGCGCGTCGATGGTACCTTCGATTCCAGCTGGCATAAACTCGCCGCAACCATCCACCGCGTGTCCTCCTATGTTCACCGCTTGGTTCTTGAGACACTCACGGAACCTAAACCTGCTTCCTCCGGAACCTCCGTGAACTACCATGAATCCTCCACCGCCGGTGGAAGTTGTTCCGGCGGTTTCAGGGCTCTCTGTGGAGGCCTTGAGGACACGAGAAGGAGGAGGAAGAGAAGGAGAGTCGTAAACGGCGTCGTCTTCTTCTTCCTCGTGAAGATTCATTTCGTCTTCTTCTTCGTTGTTGTTGTTGTTGTCTTCAAACTCCATTAAAGCTAGCGGAGATGGAGAAAACTACGTCGTTTTTGAGAGAGGAAGTTCAACAAGGAGAAGGAGAGAGAGAGAGAGACTGTGGACATCAAAGATTTTATCTTCTCTCTTTATCTATCTCTCTCTCTCTCTCTCTGGATATGGGATTTGAGAAATGGTTTATTTTATTTATGCTATATACATTCTTGGTTATTGGAAATTGGAATCTAATAAATCTGTCCTCAACCACACTTTGTAACGCTTTCTTTTATCTTTACATTCTTTTTAAATTTCTTTCTAATTTTACTTTTTATATAGTTGAACCGTTCTACTTGGTTTTTGGTTGTCAACTAACCAGTAGAACCAGTGTAATTATTAATTAGTTATTAAACCCACTATATCAGACAATTCAGTTGGGTCTCTAAGTCTAACCAGTAACCATGACTATGATCTAAGAAACGAACTTTTGATTTCTTTTAATCATGTGAAAAACAAAAAAATTAACCATTACTTAATATCGTAGAGATGGATTAAAATATTATAACGTTGTAAATTTTGATTGACAAATTAAAAAAAAATGAATTAATGATTTGGAATTGAAATATTATATTTAAATATGTTTTCTTTTGTTATTATGAAGAATCAGATCTGGAAAATACTTATGATTTATAATTTTACTTCAATGGCTGTTTTGAAAAACACTACCTGTTATATGTTTCACAAGTCAAAAAAAAGAAATAAGCTTTTGTTTTTCTGGACATAAAATACAAATAGTTTAGTGTATGTATTTAAAAGTAAAGCGAAGGGATAGTATTAGAGATAACTTTTGGGGAAACTAAAAAAGGGGATAAATAAAAATAAACGCGATAATTATTTTTGTCCATATGCCAATGGTATAAATATACGCATTAATATTTCTGCGATAAAGTGATGGGCTGTCTAATCACATCAAAATCAGTAATGCCCTTAATAATTTCAAGGTCTGAATTTCAACTTTCCAGAATTATTTAGTAAATAATTCAAAGAGTAAAACAAATTTTAATTCGATCAAATCAGTAAAACGAAGTTTAATGCATTAAGTAAGAAGTACGTGTAGATAAATTTGTAAAAGTTAAAAGAATAAAGGTGTATTGAGGTTCTCAGCTATAACCGTCTGATTAATAAACTCGTGCTGACTTTAGATTTGCAACGTATACATTAGATTTTTCGTATTTCTACGTTTTATTTTTATAAAAGTAGTAATATTCATAAAATATTTTTTTTCTTTCGTATTTCTACGTTTTCTTTATTAATTCAATCGAGTGTCATTTGTCTTGTCAACACGAAATTGCATGATGAATTTACATAATTTATTGTAAAAAGAGTTGACAGTTTTTGGACGTGGTTTAGTGATTTTTTTGTCTAATAGTAAAATTTAATTCCAAGCATATTAGCATTTATTTTTAAAAAATGTCTTTAAAACAAATACTATGTGGCACACATAGGTTCGTATGTTGATACAATATACAACATGTTTTTGCTAAAATACAAGATCTCGAGCAGGAAACCAACATTCGTTATAGTTTTTTGCAAAAAGGGTTCCAACATTCGTTATAGTTAATATTCAAATATTGTATCCAATCTAATTTGAAAAGACCACAGAGAGAAACTTTATGAATTTAGGCTCCCTTTAAAATAAAATGTGGAAAAACGGAAATAACATATCAAGAAAAACAAATTGTGGTGATCTAAAGTTGAACTTTAGAAATAATATAGCTCTGACCGGTTAGAATAACAGTATTATTATAAGATTTCAATAACAGCTGTGTGTCGGATTATAATACTAATAAATGCGAATGTTTTGTAGGGCCTCAAACTTACCGAAGTAAGAGTGAATAAAAATAACTTATTTATACCGAAAGATTACAGTAAAGTAAATGATATTATGTTACGAGCAAAAATATAAATTAAACACCGACTCTGAGGAGAAGAAAATGGAGCAAATGGATACTGAAAGACGTTTGAGATGACGTGCTGACGTGTACTTGTCAGCTGGCGGGAAACCGCTTTCCTACGTGGAGACACACTGAGGATTTGTCTCCGTTCATTATTGATAAACGAATTGTTTTCACATTTATAGGAGTATAACAAAATACAAAATTCTCAAATGTACAACACGATGGATGGAATGATTCGTCTTTGAGAAAATGTAAAACACAATATTTTATCAATTCTTCATTTAAATAGATCATTTAACTGGAAATCATAACATAACTCGCACCACCATAACTATAAAATAAAAAAAAACACTAAAGGCGATAGAAGTTTTACTATAAACATAAAGATAAGACAACAATAACAACAAAATGTAAAATTATTCAACAGTTTTATACCAACATAATTAGAATTTTTTTTTTCAACACTTGTATACTATACGTATTAATACAAATGTGTCGAATTGTCATTATATAAACTGGCAAAAGAAAAAAAAGGAAGAGTAATGTTGTAACTTGTCAACGATAGGCTCGTTGAAAGTTATTTATTGCACATCTGTATGACGTGGATGTGGTCATCACAACTAGATACAGTATATTATGACAAAAAAATCACAGAGAGTATATAAGTATTTGTATTTTGTTAAAATTAAGTAGTTTTCGTAATGGGAATAGGGGAAGACAACACAAGAACTGGCTAAACCCAAAAACTGATTCAAGATGGCAAATTATTGAATATATTATTATGATGACTTGTTAACTTTACAAAAACATAACACTGTAGTTATTATTTTACTATTCTTTACATTTTACCAAAAACAAAACTTTACCAAAACGTAACAGTTACAAGCGTGAGGATACAAACTTTATGATGATTTATAAGTCTGAATTTTCACAACCGATATCGAACTCTACTATTACCTATGTAGCTTTATATATATATTGAAATGGGGGTAATCATTGGATTGGTAATTCGATATGTTCAATCAATTATCATACAAGAAAGATATATAATATTAATTTTGACAAAAAAACATTTAAAAAAACCTAAAAAGCAACCGACAAGGCTAAGTTAATAGGGCATCAGGGTAGATTGAAAAAGAAGTAAAACTTTCTTACAAGTGGAACTTATAGATTATCATCAGAATCCATTTGACCCATAAATAACTACATCAAAAGGACAATAATTTAACTCCTCTTCTTTAGTGCACATCCGTTCTTTTCTCTTTTTTCCCATCATTTTTTCTTGGAATTTTTCTTTTGAAAGAAGGAAATTTGAATAAAATGGTTCTCCCTACGAATAAAACCTATGCGATCGGGATATTTATTGTGAAAAGAATGAGCTGTATAAATGGGTGCTTTGAAAGAGAAAAAATGACTATGATATTTGTTTGTTCTAATAATTTATAGAATTTGTCTACTGTAAACGAAAGACCGACATTAGTGTTAAAAACCTTTAACGGAAATATGAATATAAAACCCTTTTGTAATAGAAAAGTAAGTTTACTGAAATAATCTTGTCCATGGACCAAAGACTAATGACTAAACCATAGAAACATACACAAAAAGAACAAACACATCTCACAAAATTTATAATTGCAAGATCATCTAATCCAAATAAACCCATTTGGAGCAGGTCTCAATCACATCAAGCTTCTTGCAGAACATGATTCATCAGAAAGTATTTGCCTAATCCTCTGGAAGAAGCTCAACACTACTGTCTCCTCAGCTTTAGTTTCTGCAGAAGACAGAAATAAGCTCATAAGATCAAAACAAGAAGAGACAGATCTTAAATTACTTATTCCGCTTTAGAAACTTAACGACAAGTTAAAAATTATTGGCTATATTTTTTATTACTAACCGAGTTTCGGTATAGTGTGTCCGCTTGTATGATGGATCACCACTGGCTCTACAAATGATTTCGCAAGAACTTCGCCTTCTGTTTTCAAAAAATCTCTCTCGCCTGAAAACCGGATACAGATTTACAGACTCTCCATGCTCATATGAGATTCCAAATATTACAGACGAGTATCTGCAGTATCATCATACTTGGTCCTTTGATAGAAACAGCAATAGCTAAAACTAGACAGAAACTTGCATCATATATCACTGTCTAAGATTACTAATTGACAAGAAATCGAGTGAAGAACATGAGCAGGGATGTTGTCTAGGTTTACCTATAAAATGGAGCGACGGGCAACGAACTGGAGATGAGAATGCGCCTACAGCAGCTTTAGGCTGTCCAAACACCAACCCTGGAATTTTTGCTCCAGATATTATCACCAAGAACTTGACCTTTGGCACCTTAGTTAGAGCCGTTCCCTACAGAAAGTTTCGACACTAAAACACTTTCTCAGCCACAAAACAACAGTAAGAAACTATCCTAACAAATAGGTTTGATTCTTCAAAAGCTCATATTCATTTTCAATCTTTATGTTCCCTACAATTGGTTTCAAAATCAAACACTTCGAACAAAACAGTAGAATCTATTCTAAAAGAGGTTGCATTCTTCAAAAAGCTCTTATGCATATTCAATCTCAAAACCTGGATTCTGACTGTTTATGTACCTTCTCTTGCATTCCGGGAATAGCCGCAGATAGAAAAGCTCCCTACAAGAATTGAACAGAAGAAAATGGATCAAGAGCAAACACTCGAAACTGGTCACATCAAGAATCGACGGTCCATGATCCTGATGATATATATCAAGTGATCAAATACTGGAAATCTCGTCCAGCGTCAAACCAACCTGGGAAAAACCAAGAAGCCCATCAAAAGGTCCATTCTTTATCATGTAGTCCTCAATATAATCCAAGCACTCTTCAAAGTTCCTGTATTCTGTGAAACCCTATACAAACAACAACACCAAACATACACACACACACACCCAAATCTAGTTATATATACAAAATTATACCAATCTCTCTCTCTCTCTCTCTCTCTCTCTCTCTCTCTCTCTCTCTCTCTCTCTCTCTCTTTCTCTGTTTCCATTGAACTTTTCTATTTTAGTAAAGCTTGAGCAGATAATACAACATCCATCCACTAAAATTTTAAAATTAAACGGGAAAATTGCTCCAATGCTTTGGTCTTTGTGAAACAACCTTTACTCTGATAGCATTATTAATCAACCAAAATCGAAATTGATGGAAATTATAATTTTTTTTTTTGGACGGACCTTTGTTAGCTTGCACCACTCGTAATACGCGGGTCAAAGAATCGCTCGACGTCCGACTTCCCGGTGGCCGGAAATGGACCGTCGAGGAAATCGAGGTCGAGATCTCGGAGAACTGTGTCCGGCCATTTACCTATAAGCGCCTGGAGAATCCGACCGCTGGTTCTGAATCCATGAAGGCACAGGATTTTAGGGTTTCTCAGTCTGTTTTCCGTGCCGGACCGGTGATTTGCCGACGCCATCGCCGTTAATCTCGTTCGCAATCCAGTGGCTGCTGTTTGGCAGCCAGGATATGAATGTCCCAGCATTGGACAAGTGTAGCACTCCATCAGGTTTCCGATTATGCTTGTCACCGAACAATAACACTTGTTGTGAGAGTTGTTAAGATTAGTTCCAAATCTAACGGTCAGGTTGTGATTTCTATTTAATTTTTATTTTTATTTTTTTGGTACTCGGATATTAATTAACTTTCGTTTCTAAATTGAAGAAATTTTATTTCCCAGAACATTCCGGTAGAAACATAAGAAAATCCCTTTTAAAAATCGTTGTATTTGTCCATTTGTAATTTTAAATATGTTGCAATTTTTCAAGATCCACAATGAAAACTGAAAATTAATGGAATAATACCAACAAAAAATTGTTTTCTTCTTACTTTCTGTTATTACAAATCATGGAAAAAGCTTACTCGTCCAATTTAAGTCACTAGGGTCAAGTGATTTGTGGACAATGGAATAATGATTAAAATGTGTGGCAAGGCAACTCGTTTTATAAGTCGACTAGTGAGAGTTTAACACCAACAAGCAGCTAGACTTTGTAAACATCTTTGTAACATATTTAGTAGAGTTTACGCATGTACATTTTTGAAATTTAGCTCTCAGTTCAAGAGACATGCAAAAAGTTGTCTGATGCAAACCTAGTAATTTTTGCAATCTTGATGATGTAGTCAGCTGGTCAGGGTTTTATACTCGAACTACATGTATACAGTTAAGAGTGTGTAATCGTATGTTGTTTATCTCGTAAAATAACGTACCTGCTATAGTGATCTCTTTCCAACTTTATGTAAATTCAAAATAAATAAAAAGTTGGATATGCATGGATGCGAAAACGAAAAATGATCTTACATGTTGTGAACTACTTATTTCGTTGGGGATTTAATCAATACAGTATATCTCAGTGAACTGAATTGTAGGTGCAGTTGTATATTCGGCTCACACCGACCGTATGGCATCATGGAATTGCCAACTATAGAATTCAGTAATCATTTTACCGGTACCAATTTAATTAAATTGAAATGACCTTTACAGGCTATCAACTGTCTTTTTCCGTTATGTATTATATACTAAGTTCCCTGTACAATCTTGCTCGACTATATAAAAATTATCTGACAGCTATCTCCAACTCTTGTTACTAGTGATAAATTAAAAACAGTATTAATTGACATAACAACATAAAATATATGAAGAAAAAAAACAATAACAGCAATATCCAACGGTAACTAGCACAATGAAATCATAAAATAGTCCCAATGGTCTACTACGCACATGAGATATACGATAATGCCATAAGTCATTCCTTAATAGGCACTATCTGTATTTTTAAAATTAGAATTGAAAAACAAAAAAAAATCTCCCAAGCTATTTTGCAATCAACGTTGCATATAGGCGAAGAGATTATTATTAATACTTTTTATAGATAGAATATTACCGGTGGGTAGATCGAGTAGACAGAAAGACAAACATGATGCGATCGATATTCAATTCACATATAAGTTTGTATGTAATGTACATTGTTTCTCTGATTCTCTCTCCAATTATTGTTACCTAATTAACGTATTGGTATCTCTGCGTTTGTTTATTAGCTGAATGGTTAAGTAATGTCTGGTAACCTCGATTTCGTGTTTCGTTTTAACTTTAAACCGAGTTAAACCAATTATCTTTAACCATTGAAAATTAGTTCGGACGACTCGAAATCAACACAAAAAAAGTTCTTTTAAACTGCAGTTGAAATCAACAAATAATCATACCAATTAGTCACAAGTCAAACCTTTTCCATGTCTTTTATACTCAAACCCCCTCCCCCATGTTCTTCTTATTATGCGCTTGCATGTTAGTCTTCAAGTTTAACGTACACAACCATAACTTAAGTATCCATTATTATTTTTTTATGAATTTTGTAAACTAGCTGAGTGATTAAAAAGAAGAAAATGTACCAAAAACATGCTCTTTCTGTTTCGTTTTTTAAAGATGAATTTGTATAAGCTATTATAACGTCTTTGTTTTGCACTCTTTTGAATAAAACTAGTTTATTTTTAATTTATTACAAAGGTGTGACTAAGTAAAAAAAAAATGTTGTAAAAACTCCGAATAATATGAAACAAAAGTAAATCGCACGAACATATGATTAAAGTAGATTGAGTAATTACTAATAATACAAACGAAGTTAACTCTTAAAACGAACCATTTTGACGGTGATTGTAATTTGCAATATAGTTCACACACAAATATGTAAAACTGCTAGTTAAATGGCTGTAAAAAATTTGAACCATTTTCGCGGTTATATATAACAAGATGTTAAATCAATCTCTTTCACTTAATGAATTTCATCATTATGTTTCGTTAAACCGAGAAAATTACATAGTTAACACAACTCATGATCAAAATATTTTATGATTTTATGATTTTATGATTAATACACAAATAAACATATCTCCATTCCGCAAAGATATTTAGTTTGATACCGATATTTTAATATTGTTTTGTCCCTCCAAAGTCCAAAACCATCTCTCTTTTTATAGCTGCACATTAGAGTCGTCTTCCTCACCTTTCACCCATCTGCAATTCACTCTCTATCTCCTTGCTTCGCTTTCTCTATATTCACTCAGAGAGTTCGAAGAAGAAGAAAGAGAGAAAATAAAATGAATTCGAAGATCATCTTAACTTTCTTCATCGTGGCTATATTCGCCACTTCATGCCTCGCTCAAGCTCCAGCCCCAACTCCCACCACCACCGCCACTCCTCCTCCGCCTCCCGCCGCAACTCCATCACCGTCAACCACTCCACCACCTGCCGCCACCCCTGCCCCCACCGTGACTCCTCCATCGTCCGCTCCTTCTCCTAATTCTGATGTCCCCGCCGCTTCTCCACCTGCTCCGGAAGGTCCCGGAGTTAGTCCCGGAGACCTTTCTCCGACTCCTTCCGACGCCGCTGCTCCTCCACCTAACGCCGCTTTCTCCAACAAAGCTTTCGCCGCCGGTACAGCTTTCGCCGCTATTGTTTACGCCGTCGTTTTGGCTTAAGAAACTCATTTAAAACATCTTAAAACGTTCTGTTTTAGTTTCATATTTTTTTTAGTTTCGGTGTTTATTTCGAGAATTTGATTGATTTTCGTCATTCGATTGTTGATTTTGATTTGGGTATTATATGATTGATCGGGGATTGGTAATTATTTACGGCGGAGTTTAAATGTTGACACGTGTAACTTGTCACGGTTTGTTGTTGAGGTCGAATGTGTTATGTAAATTCAGTAGTAGCTTTAATAAAATGATTTCATTATTCTTTTCTTTACAAAAATCTCACATGGTTCTTCAATCTTTTTGAGTCTCTTCTTCATAGGAAAGTCAGAATTATATATGTCCAGGTTTTGTACAGATCTGATTCCCGTTGATTATTGAACTGTAAATCACGTTCTTGGTTTTTTCCTTTTATTAAATGTCTCTCATCTTGTTGAATGAATACGATAATTTAAATATTTCTGAAATTCTGTATCTGAGATCTACATATTTGATACTATATATATTGATTAGTGCTTACCATCGTCTTTATGACTTTATTACATCAGCGAAAAATACCTTAGGTGAATATATATTCGTAACTGATACTATACATTTGTCAAGATATATTTGTTTCCTAAAACACAGACATTCAGAACTGATCTTTCACAGAGAACTACAACAAGTTAACAAGCATTAATAGATTTTGAAAATGCATGACAAAAAAACATCTATCAATCTTTAAACCTCACAAAACCAAATAAAACCTTGTTTCACAAATATCAAACCGTTTTCCATGTAAGAAGACTCCTCGGTAAGCCGGAAAAAAGCCCTTTTACATATGGGCTGCCTCCCCCTATTTGGGCTCTTGCTGGTCCAACATAATAATTGGTTATCACTATTTTTTACAATATATGACAATTTATGTTCTTTGTTAACAGTCCTGGATTTTGCGGAATAAATGATATTTTTATAATTTTAGATTGCATTGATCAAAATGATTGAAAATTTGATATCACAGATGAAAATATAATATATTTAAACTCGAGACTTTGTTATTTGTACGTATGCGATGAATCTAGCAATGAAATGATAGATCATCTGGTAAAGACTTATAATGGACTTGAATTTTCTATCTCCAAAGTCCTTATAAAATTAAACGTAGATCACTATTATAAGTTAAATTTCGTGAACTTATTCCAAATAAATGGAAAATAAAACTAGGGCAATATAAGAGTTTTTTTAGCTTTTACAGCAAAATTTGTTATATATATATTATGGCACGCGATGAGAGTCAATAAATTCACGAGGACACAAAAATCGGACTATATACATCCACACATTTAGTTGATTTATTTATTACGCACGAATTATTTTGTTTGTAATGAGCCTGTCTTATAAGTTATAACAGTTGTCACTCAGACACTCACCAATAAATCCACGTACGGAAACGAAACAAACCAATGTCTAAAAAAAATGATTAAAAATAACAATCTTATTTCCATCTAATATTTCATTGTTTTCTTGTTGCGGTCATCTTTCACCACTCATGTATCATCAATATATATGGTACAAAAATTCTACAAAGAATTCATCATAATTTTAACTAATACTTAAGTAAAGTGCAAAAAGGTAAATTACGGTAGCTGTTAGCAAACCCAATTGTTACAAAATAGTATTAATTACAAAAAAATAGCTGTACTTTTTTCTTCTAATGCATGAATGACAACGGTTGAAACTTAAAACAAATAAGATAAAGAAATAGAAAAAATTCGGAGCAGAATAGAAAGCAAGTCCAAACCAAACAAACTTTTAAGTACAAAAATGGTAAAATGTCAAGTCGTCAGCTTTAAATAATTTGGCTGTAACAAAAAAGGTGCAAGTATACAATTTGTAAAGTTACATTTTAATAATTGATCTGAAAAAAGTGTAAAATTTAGGCGGGTCTAATTACAAGTGTAAAAGCTTGTTAGGAACAAAAAAAAATCTTGTAAGGAAATAGTCAATCAGACACATACACGATATTACATAAGCAATGAGATCACAAGGGACACTGACGCATATCGAAATAGAACGACGTTGCCAAACTAAACAAATCATACTATTTTACCACGTGCCATGCACGTGTTGTGATTGCTCGAGTTCAGCGGAGCTTGATTTCTGTAGCTTTTTTCTATTCCATGTATGTATCAAACTTAGTGTAAATTCACTAGATCACTAATCTGCCCAAATCGAATTCTTGTAAGACTTCTACAGATTTATTTTTTAAGTTACACAAGAATTAATTATATATATCAAACATGGAGTCTTATCGCAAAACGCGATGTTTCAAGATTACAATCGCTATTAAAAAGCCTTTTATCGAAAAAAAAAATCCGATATTAAAACTTATTCCAATTTCTTTTAAGTAATCTTATATATTTTTCATGTCCGTTTAATTACACAAAGTATCGTTCAATTTATACTAGACTAATACCTACTAAAATGGTCAGTCAAAATTTTAAACAAGGAGTTATCGTGACAAAAGATGAAATTTTTCAATTTTAAATATATAGGTATATTTTTTTACATATTTAGCAATTTTTTTTTTTCTCTTTGGTGAACATTTGGTAATTTAAATAGTACTCCATGCAATAAACACATATATTTCGAAAATTCTTTGCAATTATTAGACAGTTGTTTTAGAAATATACATTGGAAAACCCAATTCGGACACTACTTATCATCATCACTATAGTCTTCTTCACCTTTCTTTCCGCTTCTTTTTTTCTATTTATATTTCCTCCCAAGCTAAAAAAAAAAAAGAACAAAAACCAAAAATAAAAAAAAAGAGAAGAGGATAAACGATGAGAGGAAGAGAAGGAGAAGAAGAATCGGAGTCGAGGATTCCACTGTTGAAAAGCCCTAACACGGAGGAGGAAGACGGTAGTGGCCATGGAGGATTGAAGAAGAGAGTTTGGATTGAGACAAAGAAGCTATGGCAAATCGTAGGTCCGGCAATATTCAGTAGATTAACATCATATTCGATGCTTATAATAACTCAAGCCTTCGCTGGTCATCTCGGAGATCTCGAACTCGCCGCAATCTCCATCGTTAATAACGTCATCGTCGGCTTCAACTTCGGCCTCTTGGTATATAACTAATAAATCGATAATACTATATTATAGAATAGATCGCTTTTCAATTCATTTATTTATTAATATGACACAAAAAATATGAATGGTGTAGCTTGGAATGGCGAGTGCGTTGGAAACGCTGTGTGGACAAGCGTTTGGAGCGAAGAAGTATTACATGTTGGGAGTATATATGCAGCGTTCTTGGATTGTTCTCTTCTTCTGTTGTGTCTTGTTGTTGCCGACTTATCTTTTCACAACTCCGGTTCTCAAGTTTCTCGGCCAACCGGACGATATCGCTGAGCTTTCCGGTGTCGTCTCCGTTTGGGTCATTCCTCTTCATTTCGCGTTAGCTTTGTCTTTCCCGCTGCAACGTTTTCTCCAGTGCCAGCTCAA